ATACCAAGGTAGTTATTCAAAAGTACATGATTCATAAAGTGTTCATTCGCATACAGTTATCTACGTCTCCCGAGAATAATCCAAAACAAACTTTTAGTGTTGAGATCAACTCGTTTACCCCCTTTCACATCGAACAACCTAATCTTTCTACAATTCAGACTTTCCGGTTGCCTTCTCGATGAATCTTCTCAAGATGTTGGTCTTGGTTGTAAACTCATCCAACTTCTCTGGTGCCAGACCTCCCTTCTTGATGATACCATCCAATCTAGCAAGCTCCTTTGCGGCGTAGTTATCACTCTTGCTCAACTTGTCGAAGACCTTAACGTAGTACTCGGCGTACTTGGATTGGGCGCCTTCCTTGTACTCTTGGGCAGCCTTGGTAGCTTCTGCGGCGATTTCAGCAATGCTTGAGCCACCAGTAAATTTAGTGACCAGAGCATCTAAAGCCTCGATAGTACCAGCAGTGGCATCAAGTCCACCACCAACAGCACGGTGTGTACCAGCCTTGCTGTTCATGAACTCGACAATATCCTTCTCGGAACGTCCACCAGAGTATGCTTCGGCTTCAGTGCTTCCCTTAGGGAAGAACTTAATGGTGGGGTAAGAGGTAACGCCCTGGTCCTTGGCTGTTGCTTTGGAGTTTTCTGCTTCGGCATCGACCTTGGCAATAACGACATTGGGTTCATTGGCGAAATCTGAAGCAACCTTCTCCCAAACTGGTGCCAAGGTCTTGCAGTCTGAAACAAAAAATAGTTAGCAAGTCATTGTAATTGTCAACGCAGATACTGGATAGACTTACGGCCACACCATGGTGCAGTGAAAGCAACAATGACATCCTTATCACTGCCAATTTGCTCCTTGAATGACTTGTCGTTCAACATCTCGACGGCACTTGGGGCAGCCTTCGCCTTCTTTGGCTTAACACCAGTCTTCTGTGTGATGAACTCTGTTAAGCTATCGATATCTCTACCTCCATTGTAATCCTCTGGGGTTTTGCTCTTTCCATCGAAGTATTTGATGGTTGGGAAACCTTGAACACCGAATTTCTTGCCCAAGCTCTTCTCTGCATCCGCATCGACTTTCGCAATTGTGACCTTATCCTTTGCAAATGCAAAGTCCGAAGCAAGTTGCTCGTAAACTGGTGCAAGGGTCTTGCAATGTCCGCACCATGGTGCAAAGAATTCAATCAAAGCTGGCTTGCCCTCGAAGGCAAATTGATCGAAGTTCGAAGGAATGAGATCGATAACGGCAGATGAAGCAGTTGCAACTGTGGCGAGGCCAGCAAACACGAGACTTTTTATGAGAACCATTTTGACGATTCGTTTCTGATACAAGATGTAAGTATTTGTATGATTGAAAGGAAACTCCTAGCTTGGAAGGAGTTCTTGTGATTTAAATACCTAATTTTCAGAAGTTGGTTTGATTTCTAATAGAGAGGAAGGACAGCTTGCTTTTGCAGTGGTGCTCGGAAGTGGCTAACGATAAGCGATAAGGAACTAGTAAGGCGGGTCGTCCTGGAAAACCCCACCCGTTTTGACGTTAATAAGGATGAGGTCGTTTATTTGCATGTACGAGTTTATCACTATTCACAGTTCAATAGATATCTTGAGAATCATGTTTGAGGTCCAGTCTGTTTCTTTCACAGAAGCTGCAAGGTTGATGAACATCTTCATTTCTCATTATTCAATCGGGTAGATTTCTTCCGTCTACCTAGTTGTAGATTACTGCCATACTAATATCTTCGTCTATGTCCTCCTCCATATGACGGGCGAGTCGAATTTTGATTGTAATACTCTGCTGTCCATGCCACTATTTGTGCCACTTGATTGTCAATTACTTTTTGGACGCCAGCATTGACTTGTCCGTTCTTCAATCGGAGATCTGAACAATGGAATCCGCCAGGAATGATTTGTACTGGGTGTTTCGCAGTAGACTTTAATTCGCCACCGGGTCTGAATTGAGAGCTGACACCGGATGTTCTCCATGGGTCATATTGACTATCGATATGTCAGCAGTTTGTTAGCAAGTTGGACAAAGCCACATACCCATTTGTCCAAATAAGACGAGTGGTGTTCTCGAGGTCCCATCCTTTAGTGTATCTGTTGACTCGATCCACAGTTGCACCCTTAGCACTGGCATATGTGTAGTTGCCCTCAGTTGGGAAGAACAAAGCACATTGTCGTTGCCAGTAATTCGCATCGACGAGACGGGAAACAATTGTAGGTCTGTTCTTGGGCGCTCCACTGCCAAAATTGTTAGCCCTAGCAATACAATGTCAATTCTGCAATACATACTCTTGCCAATAGCCAAATGGCTCGTTGCAAAGCATCCAGTTCCATTGTCTATCAATTGCATTTCCGACGCTATAGTCTCTGAACATCAAGTTGTTGAAATCATGTGTATTGAAACAAGATGTGTCATTGGCATCGTAGCCAAAGCCTTCACAGTCTATTCGCCTTTTGTTAGTACCCCAATACTTCGATTGGAAATCAGATACTTACAGCCAGGTATGTAGCTCTTGGTCCATTTTGCATAACCTTCCAATGCGGTTGTAAGACCAACACCGTTCGCATCTGGAGTGACAGCAGCTCCAGCGGTGACGTTCTATTATTGAGTTAGGACATAATCTACCATTCAGATAAGAGATTACTCGCCTCAATTGCGTCACAGAATTGGTAGAAGCCTGAATAGTTTGTAGAGAAACTGTTTGACTGCCACAACCAAGGACCGTTTTCGAGAACAGCCATGAAGTCATCATTGTACTTGACAGATTCCAAGCCAAACTTAGTCTTCAGTGCAGTTACTGCACTTTTGTTACCATGGGTCAAGACGTTGTCCATATAGTCAATGACTAAAGAAACGTCTTTGCTGCAGTTCTTTGGCATGCCATCTTGAACGGGGTAGAAGTATTGCCAATAGTCGTCAATAGCTTGCACTGGAGCACTGGATGCATGGTATGCCCAGAATGTACCAGGGCTTGTTGCTTCTGTCCAAGCAGAGAGTGCACCGCTATAACTACCACCTGAATAGATCCAAGGCGCAGAAGCTGCATTGCTGCTATGGTTTGAGTCGAATGGAAGGTCAACTGTCTTGGCAAAGTGAACAAAATCCGCAATAGCTTGTTTTAGAGTGAGGAGTTGTAGATTAGTTGTTGTGAGATTATCATATGGAGAAGATTCGCCCCAGAAACGATCTGTAGAACAGTTAGCATATCTTCCAATCTGAAAGTGGAAAATTCATACGCTCAACCATAACAACGGCACCCTTAACTTCCTGCGCAAAGCGCCCGGTAACGGTGACGTTAGTCAAATAGGCACCATAGTTTGCGGCAGCAATTTCACCAGGAGTGAAGAAAACGATCTACAGTTGTCAGTTGGAGCACAATTATTGAAAGTCGTGGTTATCCTTACTGGAGATCCTGGTCCGGCCCAAAACTCGGAGTTCCACCAAAACTTTTGTTGGAAAGTTCCTTTGGAAGGATTGTCATGATCCAAAAGCTGGGTGAAGAATGCAGAACCTGTAGTGTTTGCAACAGCTGCATTGATGGAAACAGGAAATTCGTCATCTGCTTCGACCGGTGGCACCAACCTCCCTTTGCGAAGAAATGGGTGCTCAGCAGCTGCAGATGCAGCCAGCAAAGAGATCGCGGATACAATTGACCACTTCATGACTGATACTGAGGACTTGGAGAAACTCGAGCCCAAAGATGTAGAAGATTGACAAGCAAAATAAGAAAGGGAAAGGGTTGGAGGTGAACATTGCCATGGATTCACCTCAAGTATTCATACAACTTTTTTCTCGGGAGGCCAAACTTACTGGTGTCACCTACCTTATCTGGAAGACATGCATACGACAAGACCCATTAGACTAATTCGATATAGTTTCGTAGATCCCCATTTCTTGGGAGGATAACAACCGATAACAATACGCATGATAAATGAATTGTAAATGAAATTCGTGTAGTCTATGAAGCCGAAGATAACCACAAAAGATGATTGGCGCTGTACCTGACTGATAAACCAAACAGAGCTTCAGAGCCCTAGGGGTCTAACCGTTATCCGGCATCTGAGCCGCTACTCAAAGCTTGGTATATCATTCGTACTTGAGTAATGGTAAAAGAAAAGGCGAATCGCGTGTATTCGAGATGCTGAATCCGTGCGGGGATGTTCTTGGAAAGAGCTTGGGACGATGGGCGGGGGGGGCGGGCTCGGACAAGACAGGGGATTTTGTTTTTGAGTTGCCTTTTATGGTATAACGTTAGTCCCACTTTACCGGATAAGGGAGGTGCTCCAATGTCAATGACCAACCACATCATAACCGACTTTATTGCGAGATATACGTTGTGCTACTGTTACCCGGGCCAGCAATACATATTGAAGTCGTATCAGGTACGTACCTGATTGACAGACTGCATGCATAATGAAGTCTCTTATGTAGGATAAGCTCCCCAAATAATGGGTTATATCCGCAATAATCTGACGAGCTCGATTAAAATATTCAACCGGTTTCCTCGAGTTTGATATGCTACTTGCTGAGCTCGCTGAGGTACCAAGCGTTACTTTGTCGACGTTAACCTTCTCTAGCCACACATATTTCACAAAATATTGATTGAATACGAGCGGCCTATTCGATGATTCGCTCTGCGGCCAGATACTCATTGATTTCACCGCATTTTGTTCGTTTAAAATTGTTGTTAGTTGAAAGCGTACAGAATGCACTTTTACAATCTGACATCTCTAATTCACAGCAGTGAGATGCGTTCGTCTGTTTCAAGGTAGGTAGGTATTTATGGAATTTTTTCGATATATAAAAGTAGTTGTCCCAGGAATTATTTTGAGATATGGGATGTGGCTTATCACACGATCTTAGTGGATCTCGGCTACCGGTTCTTGGGATGGGAGTCATAGAAATCATCAAACTGTCTACTACCTTACCTGGGTACTTTTTGTCCTTGAACTCACGAGTATATTTATGTTTCTATTTCAATTACAGCTACAGTCATGTATCGAGTTTCTCACACTGCGTGTTTTCGCAAGAAGCCTTTGCAGGTCAATATCCAATACCGCTCATTTACCAAATTTGACTCATTTGGAAATTCCCCCATTCCTGCTTCCAAACAGCGTTTCGTTCCAACATCTGGCACCTACCCGAAAGGCTTTTTAATCGGTAGTACAAATGTCGGGATCAAACCATCCGGCTTATCCCAGCCAGACTTGATTTTAGTGACAAGCGAGAAGCAATGGGAGGCATGTGGAGCTGCTGTTCTTACAAAGAATGAATTTCCAGCTCCCAGTGTACTTGTTACTAGGGAGTTAATAAAGGAAAGTCGGGGAAGGAGGGTGAGAGGTGTAGTTGCAAATTCGTGGTGTGCAAATTTACTCACAGGTGAGAGAGGGCTAGAGGATTCAAGAAAGATGAGTGAGGAGGCGGGAATGGTTCTGGGGGAGGGAAAGGGGAAGGGGAAAGACCCGGTAATGGTTATGCATACAGGCAAGTTGCTGTTTTAGAGGATTGCTCACCTCCGTTGCTCTGGTTGGTGAATATCATTGAATACTTGGGTCCTTCAATTCCTTCCTATGCGTGAGAACAATGAACTGACTGAGTTACTCGGACCTAGGTATGGGTGGCCAGCGGTAAGCTTTCTCACATGGTCATCCTTCACTCACTAATTTTACACAGACTCCCTATTGATGACATCATCCAGGGCTTCCCAAAACTCCATCAGAACATGGGTACCACTCATAATCACTGGCTACAAGCCGCCAGGGGCATCTGCACAACTGACACCTTCCCTAAACTTTTATCCCGCACGTTCTCTCTCCCATCTTTACCAAACACCAAATTCTCTCTCGCGGGCATCACTAAAGGCGCTGGAATGATCCATCCAAACATGGCTACCACACTTGGTATAATCTGTACCGATGCACCCATTACACCTCCTGCTCTTCAACAACTCTTGAGTACCGCAGCTGATAAAAGTTACAATTGCATCTCTATTGAAGGAGATACAAGCACGAATGATATGGTCACTATGTTCGCCAATGGTGCGGCTGCACCTACACATTCTCCAATCGACTTTGATACATTGGCGGCATCTCAGTCCGAAGATTTTGTCGCTTTTCAAAAAATTCTCATTGAGTTCATGGCTGATCTCGCAAAGCTGGTAGTAAGGGATGGAGAAGGCGCAACTAAATTCATTACAATACGAGTACGAGGCGCGCCGACCTACCCAGCAGGCAAACACATTGCATCCGTTATCGCGCGTTCTGTCCTTTTCAAAATGGGGGTCTATGGCAAAGATCCGAATCCTATAGGTGTCTTAGCTGCTTTAGGTTACTCATTGATGGATACAAAGTTCGCTGGCAAGGGGATCATCAACTGCGAATTAACATCTGTAAGTTTTGTGCCAGTTGACGGTGCTGAGGAATTGAATTTTGTGAAGCGGGGAAAGCTGATGGAAGTTGATGAGTCGAGGGTTAAGGAGCTTATGGAAAAAGAGGACGTGGAAGTGGTGGTAGATTTGAGGGATGATGGGGGTGGAAAGGGAGAGGAAGCTGTTTATTGGACCTGTGATATCACGCATGAATTTGTTACAATAAATGGAGATTTTAGAAATTAGATGCAAAATTGCGGTCAAATTTAGCAATGTCGAAGCAAAGAATTCCAAAAATATTCGAACATGGGAATGAACAGTTTAAGATACTAGAAATGCATTGAATACACGGTTTGCTTGGATGCTAATTTCCCAAAAGAAAGTATAACATAACTACCCTATGCAAAATAATGACGTCATGAAAAAAAACACAAGCAATGATCGGCAATTCACACGAGTAGCAATACTCGGTGCAGCATATTACGAATCAACACGATCCTCAACAACCATTGAAGCTACGGTCTTAGAGTTCGACAACTTAAACGTCCAATTTCCATCCCCAACCTCCTTCCTTTGAGATACTACAACATCGATATCTGTATCCGGTTCCATTATTACAGTAGTCACATTCGTATTATCAGATTTTGGCAATTTCCATTCTCCTTCCATTGGCCTCATATCAAACCGCATCACAAACATCGAAACGACAGCCAATATTTCATTCGTAGCAAAGTGACGACCAGGACATAAAGTGGTTCCACCACCAAATGTACGAAATGCAGCTGGGTTGGGACGTTTGACATTCTTGTCTTTGAGAAATCGTCGAGGATTGAAGTCTGCAACATCTGGTCCCCAGATTTTGGAATCCATATGGATAACACGACCGGGCATTTGAATGATGGAGTTCTTCTTTAATAGCCATTTATCGTCTAGCAAAGTATCTTCCATGACTATCCGGACAGAAGTCCCGGCAGATCGATGACGGAGAGTTTCTTGAAAAGTCGATAGTAGAAGATGGCATTTTGTCTTCACATTCGTAATATCGAGACTTCGTGTCAAACTTCCATCCTCATTACAGCATGTTTCCACTATTGCCTCAATCTCACCACGTATCTCTTCCAGGAGTTCAGAGTTCGAAAAGATGAAGAATATCAACCAGAATAGAGCAGGTGCGGTATTGACAATAATAGCAACTCCGATAACAGTTTCATATCTAGCAACATCTTTGATTGGAACGCCATGCTTGACATTGACCTCTAGACGAGCTTTTGCAAGCAGAGAAGCATCCTTGAAATCACTTCCTGCGTAATACGATTCGAAAGCTTTTGTGACTCTTCTGCGTGCTGCAATACCTTTGCGAGCAAAGATAGAAGGTAGTATACCAATTAACAGCCTCATCATCTGACTCTCCAATTCCCTAACTCAATGATTAGCCCTCAAAAATTCACATTGAGTCACCAGAGAGAAATACCAAAAACTATTCCGAACCTTCACATCCCTATAAGGATTTCTCGGTCCATAAACAGACTCCGTCGTCGCCATCGTAATTAAGCCTCTCAGCCACCCGTGAAGTCCAATCTCCATACTCTCTTTTCCCTCCCCAATCAATTCATCCAAGCTCTCCGCAACAATTCCAACCATAACCCTATTCATACCATCCAAGCCTGGTCCCGGCGCCGTCGCCCTCTTCATAGCATGCGTCGCCTCCATATTCAAACCCCAATTCCCTTCATCTCCATTAACATTCACCGCCAATATATCCCTCGCTTTCTTACTGACTCCACAAAGTTGATTTGCGAATTTTGCTGAAACAGGCGGAAACGCAAGTTTCTTAGGTAGTTTTTGGACAGCCTGGATTAGCTCAGGTGTATTCACAATGTACATTTTGGCGCCTGGAACACGTATTGTTAGGATTGGGAAGCGTGTTTTCTGGCTAAGATCAACATAGTAGTTGAATTTTCGTCGCCCAAGTCCAAGGATGTGACCGATATATGGAATTTGTGTTGTGACCATGGGAGGTTCGAGGGGTTCACAGACGGAACAGAGGAAGTTCAAGAGAAGGTAGGTCAATATACTGAGGGCTGTGACGATTGTGAGGGATCTGGGGGGAGAATTTTCGACGATTGACATGATGATGGGATCATCTACGAACTGTTGTGAAAGCATCTGAAAAGAGTTGGAGATGTTTGAAATGACAATGTTAGAAGTGAACTCTCCTTTTCCTTGACTACATTCCATGAAGAATGACAGTGTAAGAATCGATCATCTTATATAGATCTTATAGCATCTACAATCCCAAGTCAAGATATAAAAGGGCTCCTTCTCCAAATTTCCTTCATCATATTGCATAACACATGCAATTAAGTCAACCAAGAAATTAGGAAACGCCTAACGGGACACCTTAAACGGCAACTTCCATATATCACAAATCTTGTAAAGCAAGAGCATCCATATCACCAACTGTGGCATTTCCATCACAAACAACGGCCGTGCTAACTTAAAAAATACGAAACAAACCATCCTTGACTAGCCAATTCAATACCGCTAGCAGCCACATCTCAGCCAGCCGTCCGGGTAAAACATTCATGATTCAAATTTCCCCATACTTTTTGTATATCGTCAAGCTCCATAAGGTCTCTCCCATTGATATATCTAGTCGTGTTCGTAGATGTCCAGTCCTCCACCTCCTCGTGTCTCGCGAACTATTTGAGTTTCTCCACTCGTTCGAACACTGTACGACGGCTCTCTCCGTGAAATTTGCCCATAAATAATAGTTTTGTCTATTCGTTGGCAATAAAGAGGTTTTACAGAAAGCAGAAAGTGGCAGAAGACGGTGCTATCTGGATCAGTGTTGAAACCTCAAAGGGGAAGGGGAAATCTGAGTATCAAACACTCGAGTCAACCAACATAGACGGATTGTTGTATTGAATGTTCGTACTAGGACTAGATATTGAAAGACAAAGATTGAATAGATGTGACCAATATCACATCTTATATTGTCAATTTTCATGACATTAATGCTCCGATAAAAGAAAATTGGAATGGTATTAAAGCCCATCAATGTTTGGGATAAACCAGCATGAGTAACCATCCGGCGTGTCGAGAAAAGTTTATGAGATACACAAGATTCCGTACGTAAACAGAAAAACAAGTTAAGGCAAAAACAGTGGCAGTATGAAAGCTGCTTTCTGAAGGCATTCTTCGGAAGTATCAGTCAGGTACCTATGCAATGAAGCCCTTTTGCCACAACTTCATACATCGTCGAATTCTCCACGAATCACGTTTTATACACGTCCTAGCGCATATTGAATCGTACACAAACTACCCGACAAGTGAAACAAATTCTACTCATAGATTAACCACAAACATTATCTTATCAATACCTCTATACAGTCCAGCAACACATCTCTAATGCGTACACGCCAACCCCTCAAACCCGTGCGTCCACCTGAAACTCCCCATAATTACCACCATCAAAGCCAACCCCCCAACTACACTCGCCAACCCATATCTATAACCATGACTCCTCCTTAACGAGCTCAACTCCACTACCCACGTACTTACCGTGGTCAAGCACCCACAAAACCCATCTTCTATCCCCTGTAACACCTGGCATCCAATTACACCCCCTAAAGGTACATGTTGTAAATCATAGGCCATACCCATCATTGCCGTCCCGAACATATTGACTGCAAATGTTCCAAGTGGAAATGAAGAGATTTTGCCATTCAAGTAAAGAGAAGCGTAGAAACGGGCTAGGCAGCCTATAGGTGCGAATATGAGGGCGAAAACCGCGCGACCTCTCCATATCTCAGGCGGTGCGTCATTTCTATCGGGTGGGAAAATAGCCAAAAATATAGCGCCCAGCCAACAACCCCACGCTAAAAATACCGCAAAAGGGTCTAGATACTTGCGAGACTTATGAAATGATAAACTCGGTGTATATGGTTCCAGAAATATAGCAAGATGAGCACCGAAAAACAACGCTGCCAAACATAATGAGACGGTCGCAATAATAACAGCTAACGTCGCCATAAACGAATATCCACCATTTCGACTCACAGTACTCGTTGTACTAGCCATGATCGGACTATAATCTTGAGGGTGGTTGAGGGGACTCGGCAAATTATTTGAAAGCGCCAAGAAAGTATCTCGAATAAACGATGAAAAGGATGTAAAACTACCACAAAACCCTGTTGCAAGACCTATATACAAAGGAATGGTCTTTTTAGTCGCAGCATGTGCTTTTTTGGCAGACTGTAAATCGGGATGTTGTTCTACAGCTAGCGAGCCTGGATTTTCTTCATCTTTAACTTTGGCTTTCCATTCCTGAATTTTGTGGTGGTAGGTAGCGGTTCCCCATTCTTCTCTGAATAACATCCTGTCTTCGCCTAGAAATCCCATGAACAAACTTCCGCCGACATTTGCCCATAGCTCGCTGAAGATTACGGGGGCTCCGGGGTAAAAGGTAATAGCTTGGAGACCTAGTCTAGCCAATGTTCCAAATATTGAAAATAGAATTAGATATGATATGGTATATAACTTTGTCGCGAATTTTGAGACCTTTGGGGGACTGGTACTTTTCTTTTCCTCTTCCGGTGGTCTTTCTCTAGCAATACTATCTCGTTTACTCTGCTCTTGTCTTCTACGGCCCTGTTCATATTCTTGCTCTTCGTCTTTAGCCTCCTCTAAAGATTTATGTTGATATGTCGGAACTTCATGGGGATTCTGCACTGGCGATGGTGTGGCAAGTTCATCTAGATGGGCATAATCATCTGGAATATCGTAATCGCTATCAGCTTTAGAAGCTCGACTTGCACGACGGCGTGCTTTTTGCTCTCTACTATTCGTATATCCTAGAGGTTGACTTTGTCTCAATTGGTTTCCATCCGTGTTTTGTCTCGGCGCCGGCGCACTGCCTTTATCGAGTCGAGAATAACTCTTTGGTGAATCATATCCCGCATCTTGCGCCTCCCGCGCGCGTCGATCTTGCGATGGTCTGTCTATTGACTTCGAGTGGGTTGAATTGGGCTTGATGTCGTAAGACTCATTTGCAGTATCTTTGGTACCTGCATTCTCCATTGGCATTATCCAATTATGTGCCAAGGCCGTGACACTTCAATTGATATTATCTAAATCCCATTATTGAAGGGAAAATTCCGACGTCACCTAGTAACATGGTAAGTAGTTGCCGTCTTTTTAAAGTTAGATTGATGGGAGATCCACTCGGGGACCGCCCGTTTGCGATTCGACTGATAAGGTCCGGGTTCCACTGATAAAATGTGGGCGGTTGGGCTCGGCCTCTAGCTGCAGGTGTGAATACATAACACATAGCTTGCGAACAGCAAGCAGTCATCAACGTCCACTCTTCTATAAACAAAGGAATATAAAGTTTCACTTCTATCATTGACTTTGTGCATTTGATCAATATCACAAAAACATTTACAACATCTTCACAGTTTGAATAATAATTGTGCGAAGCTTCAAAAATGAATGAATCAATCCCACCCAACGTTCACATTTCCACCCATCCATGTCTCCAAGCCAAACTCTCGCAATTACGATCCAGCGAAGCTAATACTCGCGAAACGAAAGCTCTTGTTAATGAGATCTCATTGATAATAGGGTGTGAAGCCACCGCCGCTGGACTTACTGTTTCTAAAGGTCCCACTGTATGTTTATGCATTCATTCATTCCTCCTCTATCTTCCCTCCCCATCATTTCTCAACCCCACCTCTACAACCAAACTAACAAACTACACCAGGCCAAAACACCCCTCGGATACACCTATACAACAACTACTATAACACCCGCCTCCATTTCCCTAATCCCCATTCTCCGCTCCGGTCTTTCTATGGTCGAAGCTCTCCAAACACTCCTCCCCTCCCCAACCCCAGTCCATCATCTTGGACTCTTCCGTGAACCCACTACTCTTGAGCCCGTCGAATATTACAACAATCTCCCCTACCACGCACCCGCCGCATCATCTCCCTCCAACACCCCCAACTCCTCCGCTTCTGAGCTTGCAATTCTGCTCGATCCCGTTATTGCTACAGGAGGAACTTGTGCTGCTGCCATTCGTACATTGAGGGAATGGGGTGTTAAGAGAATCATTGTATTGAGTGTGCTGGCTGCATTGCCGGGCTTGCAAAACGCAGCTAGAGAGTGGCCTGAGGGGACGGAGATCTGGTGTGCAGGTGTGGATGAGGAGGTTAATGAGAAGGGTATGATTAAACCAGGTTTGGGAGATGTGGGTGATAGACTATTTTTGACCATTGGAAAGTAAGGTGCTTAAATTGGGTAGTTGAGTTGCTTGCTCAAGATTTGCTGGCGTTACATGGCGATGAGATTCCCTCAAGTTGAATGAGATACCACCAGCTTCGCCTTCTATCATCTGATGTTTGTTAGACGTGATTGTGATTGTGATATATTTTGATCTGAAAATAATTAATATTAATGGTGGATACTAATCTACCTCCACCTGGCAGGTATTAAAAAAACTATAGAAAAAATATATACAAGTAGGGTATCATATTTAACACGCTCCAAACAAATGCATTTCAAGGTATACTCAGAATTGATAGCCCGGTGCTCCAAAATCGTCATCCCAAGGTATGAGCTGAATAAGAAAGTAGGCAATATTCAGGATGGTCGGATAATACTGCAATAATATTATAAAGAGGCCCAAGTAGAGGGTAGCAGATAAAACCAGGTAAGGTGTAGGTTCGAGCAGGAAGTCTTTCCATAGATCTAGTAGCCAAATTTCCATTTCCGAGGCCTCAGCTAAATGCACTGGTCTGTATACGTCACGAAGTCTTGGACGAGAAGGATGACTGTTTTGTGGCCGTGGCTTGGTAGGAGGGAACTTCGCTGGTTGGGAATGGTATTGAGACCTTGATATCTGTGCCTTTGTTACTGCCGAAGATATCTCGGGGCTTGTAAACCGTTCTTTCTCTTGGGATGGTTTTGCATGACTCGAAACTGCGACTTTCTGCCGCATACGCACATAACTCCGTAGCCCCTTTTCCCTAATCTGTGCTCCGCGTTGTCTTATCCTAATGCATTTAGTCGTGTCGTCGTGTTTTCTCTTCTCATCGTCCCGGTGCCAAAAGACCCCTGACTCTTTCAATCCTTTGAACTGCGCCTTCAAGCCTTTCCAGTCGTTTTCTCTTTTCTCCATCCCTTCGTTCCAAAATTTCAACTCGCTCTTCGAGTTTCGCCCTAGCCTTTCGTTCCGTAGCAACCATTTCATTGGCTTGTGTAAATAGCTGTGCCGTCAGTTCTTCCAGTTCGACACTGGATTCATTTAATTTGCCCTCCGCAGCCTGTCGTAACCCTTGCTCCCTCGTTAAGGCAGCTACTAACTCCGTTGTAGAAGGCGTTGGCGGTGTTGGCGGTTGCTGAGCTTGTAGATTCGGTGTGGACTTGCGAGATAGCAGAGAAGAAAGTCGATTCTGGACAGGCAGATATGAGAAACGACTCGGGCTCCCAAGTCGGTCTTCAGTGTGCCCTTGTGTTGGTGTTGTTGCGCGCTGAGGTTCTGTAGTTTGTTGGTAGTTCGCCCTTTTAAGTGTTTGGATTTCGTCTTCGTAGTCTGCCCATTTATCCACTGGCAATATCGTTAGCACTGGAAGATCAAAGGTTTATAAAGAGAAAGACTACCTGCGGCGGTCGCTTTATCCGTCAGTAACTTTACTTGAGCTTGTAATTCTTCAATCTCCTTCTGCGCATCAGCTGCGATCTGCGAACTGTTGTGCGGTAGAGCCATTCCACAATTAGGACATGCAGATTCAACTCCCGACGTCTGCGCCATCGTTAAAGTTATAGTTGCCGACATGAGCTCGTCGTGTGTTGTACTATGATCATAAGACAATGTAATGGTGAGGTAGCTGTGTGACTTCGTGATTTGACGTGATGAGTATCAGGTGTTGTTGGGTACAACTCTAAACTGGTGAATACAAACTCTGTTTTTCGACTGTGCAACTGTGCGACAATGCGACGGAAGTAGTCGACTTTGTATTTAATCGAAGAGGGGTCAATAGTTATCGGACAGGCCTTGCATAAGGAAATTTATATCCAGCATTACAGGAGATTAATTTCAGCAAGGCGCAGGCCAGTAATGTAATACTTACTGTAGGCGCGATGGAGATCCTCATGGTAACCATGTTAACGGCATTCTTTATCCCTGTTGATGCCGGCAAACCCCTAATAATAGGTACATCTTCATACTTCAGCCATGCCATTGTTGATTGTAGTAATGCTGACAATCTAGGATGGATGGCATCCACAAGTATCGTTCTTAGTAAGAGATGAGGACTGCAATGTTCCAAATATCTGGTAATGTCGAAAACCTCGCAAGAAAAATCGACTCGGGAAGCTTACGCAAGTATCTTCCGCTCAATCTGAGCACCAAACATCAATGCCGCATTCTTGTTGGTTGAATGGATTCTTTTGTGGGTACAACTATAACTTTGACGTCGGAAGTTTATCGAGACGTTCTGGATTGAGTGAACGTTTCGGAATGATTGTATTTCATCATGAATCCTGTTCCTGCAAATCTTGTGGTGTTTCGGCGCAGTGTGTAAAGTTCATCTGAAGATTCCATTCCGTCTAATGTCTGTTTGAGAATAAAGCTCATTCTTGGATTCAAGATGAAACTTGGCTGCTAACAACTAGGGGCGCCTAGAAGCCTTCTGATTGTTCATCTGAAGTTCGATGATCAGATGAATTCGTGGTCGTGTATTGTTTTCCAAGAGATCACATTGATGTCGTCAAATTGATTTCCAATTGGCATATCTGCGAGTGCAGCTGTAACATGCAATAAAATGACTTTATGCCCAGTTGGCATAAAGAAAAGGATATCTTTGCTTCCATGAGACGCTCAAACAACTTCAAATATCCACTCCCAATAGATACCATTCAAATCAATTTGCAAAAGGTGCAGCAAAAGAAATAGCTCTTTGCAGATACCTCTGGATCTTCAAATAAGGTTGATCCCCCGTCTCACACCAAGCGTCATGTCTTTTCTCCGCCATTTCCTGTCGTGCATTTGCCGCCTCTTCATCTTCCATCTTTCTGAAGACGTCATCAAGGTAGTTGCGGCACCAGAGATCTTCATTGATACCCTTATGATCTCTAGGTGCCTTGGGCCTTAAGGATGGCTTCCCACTTCTCCCCACCTTTTCAATTACAACGACAACATAGATAGCGGGGTTGTCGAGGCGAAACAAGTGGATCGCTTGCCCGTCGCATTCGACGGGTCGAATATATCGCTTTTCTAGCTCGTCCTTGAACATCCAACGATTCAAAATCTCACTGTATTGTACCTCAAGTTGGTCGCGAAGGTAGCTGTAGCCTGCAGCGACTTGTTCGGCGGGGAGGCTTTCGCTAGCCTCACTATTTGTGGAAGAGGGTTGATCAGAGGAAACATTGGGAGAAGTACTGGTAGGAGCGACTTGAAATATACCTTCACTGTCTCTTCGGTTGCTTATTGGTTGGATGGCAACGAGAAATCTTCTTCCAGTTTTGTCGGTTTTGTATATACCATGTACGGGAGTCGTTTCGAATTTTATCGCTTCGACAGGCTTTTTTTCTCCGGGAACTTCTTCTTTGCTTTGAAGACGTTCCATGTATTGGACACTTTATAGCTGGTAAAGAGTTTCTTCATGTTGACGAATAACAAAGCTTGTTGGTTCGGAGTTCTAGTCGGATGGTGACAGTGCTATTGAAAAAGTTCATTAGGATCAACTATTACAATCCCATAATGCACAGGGCTTACGTCGTCTATATATGATTTGGCTGGACTATACGGTCGTGCTACAAATCTATGCATGCGTGTATGTTCGATATGGCTTCAGATATAGGTATATATGGCAGGAAACGTATTGATATATGGTAATCATATATCTGTCGGTGCAAATGAGAGAAGAATGAAAGGAGGATCGAGGGAGATCTATCAAGTACAGATGGCCTTTTACATATTATCTAGTGCATTGTACTAAAGCTATCATTAAATGTACTAGAGTTGAGAGGTAGCAGGTTTCTAAGAAGCTAGCGAGCAGCCAGGCGGTACTTTATTTCGTAGCGTTGAGATCTTCAACGGCGATTTAAGCTATCTTATCTTTTGGATCGCTCGAACAACATGATATGCTGGTGCTTGAAGGAATGTATGCAACTATGAGATCCTCCTTTCAAACAATAAAAACATCAACGAAAGAATTCAATTCATACGTTTGCTCAACATCTCTTAAGGCACAAAATGAAATTGACCAACTCAATCTTCCGGCCCCGCTTCTTCTTTCAAGCTCACTGTGGGGTTAGTATACACATCTCTGGTGTTTCCACAGATATTGTAATGTTCCTGGTTAGCTTGCACATAAACTTCTTTCATCTAAAATGTTAGTATCGGGCTGTGTTGAGTGTTTAGGGGATTGCACCATTGCAGGAGGTTGTTCCTATGACAAAAGTGCGGTATATCTTTTAAACCTCATGTTCAGTAAATTAAAATACAAAATCTCCCTCTCTATTTGACAGGAAGAAAATACCTACCAAAGTTCAATCGGTATTGATAATAAAGATAGTAGACCCTGTGCTCATTCTCATCAAGAATGAAATTCCAATAGTATTGGATAGACCATGGAGTATCTGCCATCAAGATCGCGCGATCTACCTACCTAGTATTAAACCCAATGAAATCAAGTACGCCTACAACTGTCCACTTCACACGCTTGTCAGGGTGGGCCTTGTAAATGAGAGATGTAGATGTGCAACATAACTCTCCATGAGAAGATATCTCGAGACTCGACGTCATTATTCAATCCTACCCTCCTTCCTTTTAGAGCTTCATTTCATTTAGTTGGTTAGTAAGCATTTCTGAGAGCCTAGAACTGGCTTTTTCTGCACAATTAAATTCAAAGCAAACACGGTGATGTCGATTTTAAACGAGCGTCTTCAGCATCGTTTGTGTAGTACGCAATATATTAATACACATCTTGAGTAGTGATGCAAGTGAGTACGGAAGGAGGTATGGTTTAGTGGGCGTAGAATAGAAGTTGAATCGTATCTAAAATGAATAGAACAAAAACTATGCTTGTATTGAAATACCTCAATTTGATCTGCTATTTAAATAAAATGAAGATATAAGATTTGCTACGAGTTTCATTTTTACAAGTCTCGTAGATCAACGAATGCTCTACCTCATCCCATGCTGCTCAAAGTAAATCGAGAGAGTTGACCGGCTTGGTCTAAATGTTTTATACATTTGTTATCTCGATAGCCTTTTCCCCTATTGTTTTGTTAGTTTCCCTGGGCCAGGTGAAATTTACTCTTCATAGACTATTCCCAGCGATAGAAATCATTGAAGCGATAAAAATCACAACTTTCATTCTCCGTATTTGTTTAACTTGCGAATACAACCACTGCGACTTGGAAGCTTTTCGTATTACTATTGTTTCGAAGGGATTCCTCCGACAGTCGAAGCTTTTCTCAGAATTAGGCATACGTTTCGTTTCATACCGGTTGTTACCTTGTCTGTCTGTTCGCTTCGTGATAAGTAGAAGACTTCAAACGCTTAAAGGGCAACAGAAAAGAGTTTGAGTGATTTAAGGCACCAATTAAGAAGATGGAGGAAAAGCTTGTTCTAGTAACATTTTTATAGCATATGATTGTCTAAAGTCTGAAGCGCGTCAACCAAGGCTGCCGTAGGTTGCTAATGAGGATGATAAACAATGAAGGAATCCTCCGAATTTATATCTTTTGATCTGCCATCTATCTATACTATGTACTGCAGAGAAATAACCAAGATCCTAGTACCACAGAGCCTTATTCCAGAATCGAGATTTGGCGTTGGCTAAAGAATCCGCTTGCAAGTACATACTTGTATTGAAAACAATCTCCACACCATTGGTACTGGTGTTATATAAAGGCCATTCCATTTTGTCATTTGGCCAAAGAGTATTAGGATTGCCAGTCAATGCGAAAGACAAAAGATACTTTTGCATAATCCGCGCTGTGGTGACATTGACCGGACTCGTCTGAATATCCCCCGAGAGAGCGTACGTGCTATACCAGTAATAATCCTGATCAGTACCATGAGTAGCTTCACCCAACGCAACCATTGCATTCCACGTTTGGTTGTGGAGACCGTTGGTCAAAGCCAAGTTGTGTGAGGTCAATTCGAAGCTTTGCTCTATGTCTGAGAAGCGAAGTCCGGGAGAGGCGTAATCACTTTCGGGGTAGAGTGCGAGGATTTCGTCGACGATAGTGTCAGTGATGCCGGGAAAATACATGCGTATTTTGTCGGCAACATCAGCGGTGCTATTGATACCGCTTGTAACGTCGCTGTTCTTCTCGTGAAGCTCGTGGGTGATGACTAATGGTCCGGTCCAATTGTAGTGACCAGCGTAAAATTCTGCCTCGTCTGTTTTTAGAATACAACATCGGTTAGCAATTTGTCAATTGATAAATCAAGAATCGAAAAGAAAAAAGTTTTGATGGAAAAACTTACAAGTATCACTAATTATATCACCATCGACTCGTGGCTGTGTTGTGTATGAGTATAAAGATACAACATCGTTGACGGCTGCGTTGAGAGTTGTGTAATTAACTGCACGCATGCAATCTAAACCACCACCATTACAACCAACAGTAGTCGAGACATTTTGCCAAAAAGCCTCGGCTTGCTGGTGACCAGCACCAGGCACTGTACCTGGGGAAGTGAGGTAAGCGCGAGCAAAGAGCTGCTCAGCATTGCCTCCATAACGGGTGATCTGATCAAGCGTTTGCGAGGAACCAGCAGAGAAAGCCAAAGCAACGATATTATCTGGATCACCTCCAAAAGCACTGATGTACTTGCGAGTCCACTTGTAGGCTTGTTCTGTATCACGAACGGCAGCATTGGTGGCGCCTCCTTCGTGAGTAAAGGTTGGTCCGTTCGCAACACCGGCAATACCGTCTCGGTAATTGTAGGTGACAAAGATGAAGTCTTTGCTGAGATCATAGAGACCTTCGGGCGTAGTGTGGGATTTGTTTGCTCCAGCTCTGAATACATCTTTCGTTAGTATTTATCGGTGTATACTCTAGTAGCAAGTATGGAACATTACTTACCCATAAGTCCATTGCAAAACAGGAAGCTTCTTTCCCGTAGCATTTGCTGGCACATAGATATCCATGAACAAGCAATCCTCAGCGGTGGTGCATGCAACATTCGATACGGCAAGTGTACCATCGTTAACCTCAGTTTCGACGGGTGGCCATTGGGGAGCAGCAAATCGAAGATCACCCAATGGAGCAGCTGCAAATCGAACGTTTTGGTATTTATAGATGCCAGCCGAGAGATTTGCAGCAGCAGCTTGAACGGTACAATAGTCTAAAGTAACTTGTGGCATTGAGGAAGAGGCAGTAGCATTTTGTGCTACAACGACTGTCGCTCCTAGTGGAGCTAGAACAGATGAGGAAAGACGCATTATCAAAACAAAGTACTCGAACAAGACGAACTAGTGAATGAATAAGTGAAACTTGGGAAGCAATGATCTAATCAATCAGATATACTGTGCAAGAGTATAAGTATAACAGGTCCAACACCAAACCTCTCAGGAAAGGCTGGAGCTACCCATCCGTCGCTGATGAGCTTTCGGTCCCGACATCCTCTCTATGAAGATCATCATCTCATTTGCATACGAATGGTTGCTTAGCGTAAGTTGCATATTGACGAACACATGTTTATACTTTAGAAACCAGCGGGAGCCACTCCCGTTGACGCGTACAAGAATTGCATGGTGCTGTATAAATCATTGTTGAGGTAGTAAGGCTTTGCGTCCAGTTCTTGATGATACATGGCATGGGAAGATTATCCGATAAATACGCATTCTACAAAATTGGAATTTTGCCGAGAGAAGTTCCCCATTATAAATTGAACACCCTCAAATCCATCAGCTGCTATCGTATGCTTAATTTCACACCGTTCAACTACCGACCATCGATAACCCTCACCTCCTTCACTGAAACCCGCCAAGCTCATTTAAACGGGAAAGACTAAGAGAGAAGAAGCCTCATACATGAGATTTTGATATAGTATCTTCGATTTGTTCAGACGCTTGACATGATGGAGAAGGGGGCTTAGAGAACACCGGTGTAATATAAAATATATAAAATATCAATTATGCGTTGGGGAGAAAATGTATTCTGATGGAAATAGAACAAATAGATCTAGCTAGTTCAAAAATAAGTACATAGTAAAGCCGGTACGGTACATGATGTTACATATTAATGACAGTGTATATTTGGTTCGGAAATCTTGTGCACAGACCATTCGGATGCAAACCTTTATTTACGGGATCCCTACTCGGACGTTTCGGTACTTATATAATATTCGTCATTATCCGCCCACCACTGCCCCGAAGAAATGCTCAATGTTTACGTGTTTTGCCCCGCAAAAAGAACAAACTCGGTCAGCGATTAAAGGAGAAATTTCTAGTCAGAACTGATTCTTCATGAAAAATGCGTTGCCGCGTAATCTTCGCGACGATGACGCTTTGTGGCTATGGAGGCTTGAGAAGAGACATGTCTTCAGGGTCCATCGTGAATTCCGAGTAACTAGGTAGGTAGATGAACATCCACAAACACGAATTCATATCCATACAGACATACATACACGCAAATACATATATAGATGTCTAAATATCTTCTGTATTTGACTTTCTTAACTCCATAAATCTCATTACATACTTTCCACTCTCTTTTTGAATAATTGGCCAACGTCACTCTCTTTTGACCTATTCCCATCTTCCCCAGGTGTTTTCCATCCATTCAACCCTTCCATACAGTCTCTAGTATCTTCCTCAGAATGGTTTACCTCTCTCTCCTCGCTGGTCTCGCAGCCAGTCGTCTCGTCTCCGGAGCCGCCATTCATAGCCACGCCAACCGCCAAGTAACCACCTCTTACGGTACACTCCAAGGTGGTGTTTCCGAACTCAACAGCAATGTCAATGTTTACAAGGGCATTCCATTCGCTACCCCTCCCACTGATGCCTTACGATGGACTGCGCCCACCTCGCCTGCTCCCTGGTCCGGCGTCCTGAACGCAACTACCTTCGGTGCCGACTGTCCCCAAGGTGCTAGCCAGGTTGGCATTTTTACTTCAGGTAATACAGCTATTTCGGAAGATTGTTTGTATCTGAATGTCTGGGCACCCGCCAATGCCACAGCGAAATCCAAGCTCCCGGTCTATGTGTGGATCTACGGAGGAAGATTTGAGCTTGGGTCTGGAAGTGTGCCAACTTATGATGGTACTCACCTTGCATCCAAGGATATTGTGGTTGTGACCTTGAACTACCGTATGGGACCATTTGGGTTCCTTGCTCACCCTGACCTGTCTACAGAGTCGGGCCATAACGCCTCTGGTAATTACGGTCTCTTAGATCAGATCCAAGCTTTAACATTCCTTCGTTCGGAAATCGCAGCTTTTGGTGGTGATCCAGATCACATGACTGTTGGTGGTCAATCTGCTGGATCTGCTAGTGCTTTGGACATGATGTACAGCCCATTGACTGAGGGAATGATCGTCGGATGTATCCCAGAAAGTGGTGCCCGAGGTGTTCATGACCCCGAGACATACACTCTGGCTACCAGTCACCGGGATAAGGACGCAGCAGAAGCAGCTGGTGTAGACTTCCTATCGACCTTAAACGTCACCACAATTGCTGAATTGCGCAACATCAGCATGGAAACTCTTCTGGAATACAACTTCAACTCCGATACCGTCCTCGTTGGCACCGCTTTCGAGAATGTGAGTGCTTTCATGGAGCCCCCTGCTTGGCGCCCTGTTATCGATGGTTATGTTCTTCCCCACAACTATGGACAATCATTATCCTTGAATGCTCACTCTGATATCCCTATCTTGACCGGAAACAACGCCGATGAGTCCGGCTCTAGCCCTTCGCCAGGCCTCACTTTAGACACCTTCACCACCCAGTACACCGAGATGTTCGGCAACCTTTCTACCCGCTTCTTCGACTTGTACCCCGCCTCCAACGACTCCAACGCTAACACTTTGAGCAACGAAATGTACCGCGATTTAAGTCGTACCTCAACTTGGGACTGGGCCACATCGTGGTATGCCGGCGGAGCTAAGAGCAACGTCTACGTTTACTATTTCACACATTCTCCACCTAACCAAACCGAGGGAGTCTATCACGGTGCTGAATTATGGTATGCTTTCGGCAACATCCCCACCTACTACAACCTCACCTGGACCGAACAAGATTACGCTCTCCAAGAACAAATGTCCGGATACTGGGCGAACTTCATCAAGACTGGCAATCCTAATGGAGGACGTCTCGCCAAATTCCCTGCTACCACTTCCGATGCGAAACAAGTCATGTGGTTGGGAGAAACCACTGGATCATCTTACCTCACTTCCAGCGATGACAAATTTAGTTTCATGCAAGACTTCTTTGCTCAACAAATCGAATTTTAAGCACTCGAAGACCTGGTCTGTGTTTTAGTGTCTTTCGCGTCAACCATTGCTCTTTCTCAAAACGCTAGATGAGTACTAGGGTACTGTACTATACCATGTATTCAAAAGTTTCTTTCTTCTGTATAAATGATTTTGTACGACCAATCTGTATTACGATACCTGATTCGGCTAAAGCCAAAAAAGTCTCATTTTGGGTTAGGATCTATAAACTTTTATTTGGATTTTTTATATTGTTTTCTCTTTGCTATTGAGAATAGTTTGATGTATACTATAGCAAATTTTGTTACTTAGAATGTAGAAAACCCCTTTTTTACGTATAATTTGAAGCTTTGTTACTGAACATTCTCTCCACGTGAATACCTATGTATTCCATTATCAAAATTCATCTGTTTCCTCAGAAAAGTATGTTCAAAAAACTGAATTGCCTGAGATCTGCAATCTTCAGTTACACTGACAATCGTTATATATGTCATATACTACATCCCGCATATCCTGCGCAGGGCGTTCGATAGTTTAGACTACGGTCTAATCAAAAACCAAAGGTTCTGGATAATTCAAAATGTTTGATACGTTGGAATAGTTTTGATCATCGAATTGATCCAAAACAATAACTTTGAAGGATTTTGATATCATTGAGGCTACTTGAAAGCTGGTGTAAATAACCGTAAGAATCTTGTACAGATCAACGAAGAAAATAACCGCGAAAAGCACCTTTGCTGAAACTCTTCTACATCATTTTCGGTAGAAGTTAGGCTTTCAAAAAGCCATCAGAGAGTTTCTGAAATAACACAAAAGATGCATTTGGAAGCACCACATTGAAGATCGCTTTGGCAGATCACATATTGACGTACAGGTCACAATAAGCACAATCAAAAATAGCAGGATTGCGGAAAAGCTCCCATGGAATACTAGTAATACTACCTAGTCTAGAAACCCGACATCTTCCGTTGAAGGAATTAAGAATAAACAGTTGTTTTTGATATACCACGCGTACGAAATTGAACTAGGGAGTCTAGAGGTGATAGACTGTTTGAATCTGGGAGGAAGCTCTGATAACGACAGAGACTGGCAAGAAAATCTCTTGAGATTCCCACCAAGCGAGATAACCTTAAAGATGCTCAGACCAGCTCGTGCCCTTGATTATGTCCGCAGCTCTTTCAGCAACAGCATAGACAACAGTTTGGGTATTACTTCTAGGTACAATGGGCATGATACTTGCATCTAATACACGTAAGTTGCTGGTGCCATACACGATAATTTTATCGTCAACTACCCCCCCCCCCCCCCTTTGTTCTCAGGCAGCATGGAACAGGTTCCAACAAGATGCCAATCTGACATGCCCGTTTTCTTGACGTATTTCTTAACTTCGTCCAAGTCGTTCGAGCGAGTGTATAGCTTGTTGCGTTTTGCGTTGGGCTTGAGCAATGAATAATGTGGTTCCGTTTTTGCAAGCTTGTCAACGAAACGAAGATGACGAGCCAGCACTTCAAGATCGAGGGGATTACTGAGATAATTGAAGTCTATTTCAGAAGCATCAACATGATTTACGGAAGAAATATGCACATATCCAATGCTGAGCGGATTCAATAGCAAAGCGCTTATCGTGACGAAATTCTCTGGCATATCAGCCACAATTAGCCCTTTTGGAAAATAAGCCCCCAAATTTCCTTGAGCAGCATACATGAATATTATGCCGTTGCCTTGCTCTGAGCCTCTGAGAAGGGAGCGGACGAATTTGTGGTGATGAAGATCACTCGCAGGTGATGGGTATGCTTTCAGCAAATTTTCTAGCTCGTCTCGATCCTCCTTGGTTTGGAAATCATCAACAGGTACGAATGAGGTAGACATGACAGCAGCACGACCGAATGGTCCAGACTGTGAGGTCATGTATTCAGTCATCGCTTTACTCAAAGCTTTTGGGGTTTCCTTGGGCAAGATATCAATAGTTCCAACCCCGTCATTGACTCCGAAGCTAATACCACTAATGATGTGATCCTTAAGGTTTTCTTTTATGTTGGGGTTTTCAATACAGCACAGGTATCCTATGCTTATGGAGAACTTCAAGAGATCCGATACCAGAAAGTTCCAAAATTTTAGGAGATTGGAGTGTACCAACCGCGAGGATGACCCCTTTGAAAGCTCTTAGAGTTTTAATAGTCTCCCTCATGAGAAAACTCAACCCTGATTGCTATCAATGGAAGTGATTCTTCTTCTAGAATGATTCTGGTAATGGTAGCTTAAGTAAGAACGACCAAATTGGTTCGGTGAATTACAGGCTCATAGTAAGCACGCGCTGTATAGCTTCGTTGTCCAGAATTTGGATCAACGGAAGCAGGATTTGAGTATGGTCCAAATGCAGTGCCGTCAGAAACATCACCACTAAAGCCATAGCCAAGGTTCTTGAAAGTTTCGTTCCATAATTTTGGAAACTCAAACTTAGGAGCGACTGGAAATGATGCTTGAATAGGACCAGAAGATGGTATGTTTGCAGAATGATTGTTCTGGAGTCCAAGACACTCCATAGCCTCCAATGGTGTGGTTAATGTGTGAAATTTGCGAAAGTATGGTGCCAAGATTTTCCAGTCCTAGCCAGGATTGCCCAAGGATGCCTATGCGTCTATACCCACCTGAGATGGTATCATAAAAACAGATGAATTGATTGCACTGAATCCGCCCAGCGTTTGTCCTTGGGAAATTCCCATAACCTTGCCATCCAGCGACTCCTAAAGCCACAATTCATCAAAACGGCATCTATTAGAATAGGAAACAACTCACCTGTGGTGTAGTTACAAAATTCCAATCTGCCTCTGTTCCAAAAAGTGCGGGCCAACCAGCAAGCATGTTACTTCTAGGATCTCCGAGGTAGTTTTTACCAGACTCAAGAACCAACACCTTTACAGTTGGATCCTCTGACAAACGGTTGGCAACAGCAAGTCCGGAGGTTCCACCTCTGATGATGATGAAAGTCAAAGGCGATTGCGTTTTCAGCCATGCCGAACTGTGAAAAACTACTTTTTTGAGAGGTCTGTGGAAGCGATGGACATTAGAAACAAGATTTGCAATAGTCTTGAAATAAGCGTGTTGAAGGCTTTTGTAAATGTGAATAAAAGAATAGTTCATCAAACGAGACCAGAAGAGTACCCTGGAAACTTGAACCACGCGTTTAGTGAATCGAGAGGGGTACAGTAAGTTAAGAGTGGTACAGCAAGGTTGAGCGGCCACAAATTATAGGTCGTTGAATTGTATATCAACTGCTGATAAGTGAGAACATGTGCGCAAACTATCAGCAGCTAACCTTCAATTGAAATCCAATACATGCAGGCGCAGTGATTTTTGTCCTTGGCTCAGCTTTGAAACCAACGAATGCATCCATCATATGAGATATCACGAATGGCCTTAACTAAAACTTTTGCGCAACGCTCACCAGATACAGGGGAAAACTCTCTAGTGCAAAAAACCCAACCGCGTTGGTCTAACAATGCACTTTCGACCTGATTCTAACCATGCAAATACTGCCTGATCGCATGTGAGGATTATTGTAAGTGCTTCTGACTGGCTTTGTGAAGTAATAGGAGTTTGGATTTTGCAAGACTATCTCGACGACTATCGATTGCCAAAGACATACTATCTTTAACGATTGTTAGATGTTAGAACAAGAGCATCTCAAAGTTTTTGGCGTAAAGCTTTACGGTATGGCCAAGATCGACATTTTAGAAGTGGATTTGACAAAGCAATACATCATCAACCTTATATCGGCTAAATGTCCCAAAGTTACTGAAAACGTGGACATCATGATTCATAGTGCTCGGAGGATAAATTTCAAGTCTGATGCTTTGTCCAGTCAACTCGTACTTGAGATTCGAGATCTGATTGGTTCCAGCATCATAAAGCGTCGTCCTTGACTAGTATTTCTCTCATCAATCGCTTCCTATCGGAATACTACAATAATGACTATTCGCCCAAGAAATATCTATGCCTGCATTGAGAACACTTGTTCTCTTTCGCAGAATGAAAAGTAGAAGCGGAATACAGCGGTGTAAGACAACAAGAACGATCCAGACGAGCAAAAGTGTAGCGCCATTGAGTCCATTGGGTCCATTTGAAAAGACTGAACACAACTTTTTTTGGGCGATAGTTTCGTAATTGGGGGCTAGTAAGTGAATTTGTATCTTAGCCTAGATACCTACTGACCCTGAGTTGTCGAAGCGATATGCAGGAGCCAAAAAGAAATCTACATTAAGAATCTTCAGTGGTGTTCATAAGTGGAAGTTTAAGTGAGATAAGGGTAAGAATATTAGGAAGGAGATGTGAAGAGTTGCTGGATGGTTGTCCTAACAAAGTAGCCATATAGTTCTGAATTTTTCAAAAAGCCCACTTGGCATAGAAGGAAGCCTCCGACATTTTCCCCAATTTAGTTGTATTCATGACTATCGTGATAGATCCAATGTCCTATTCGTTGTTGATGACAAATAATGGACAATTCACATGAAAAACAAATTATGAATGTGGAAGAATGGAAGATGTTGGAAGTAGAGGTACGAATTCACTGTGATTCATGCTTAGATTGGTATGCTTTTGGGAACATAATATGATGGCTGACTGGAAGTGAGAGAATGGCAGGGAGCACAACAGGGTATTCAGATTGGTTGGAGGTGTAGGGTTTTGAACGTGAAGGGAGAGGCCCCATCTGAATTCGTGTCTATAATGTTCCCAAAAGTGTTGTGAACTGGTTTGGCCCTAAAATTCCTTGAACAAGTCGGAGTGGCCACTCCCCAATGCAACTTTTGGTAAACAGACCGTCCGCAAACGCCATGAAAATCTTTTCCGAACCTTCACACATTCGTATTTTTGGAGAGCGAGATCGGAACATCGTGGAGATCATAGATAGCGTATAGGATATCCGATGGGAGAATAATCATCACATGTAGCGCTTCGTGTGATGGTCAGAGATTTGCTTAAGGATCTTCATTTATCAAAGAGCTTTTGCTATAATTCTGCAAAGCCCTTCGCTTGTGCTAACAAGCATTCCCATCCCAATGCAAAATGCCCAAACAAAACCATCCGCTTAAACCTCAGTAGTAACTCTGGCCTTGGCGTTGGTAACCTTAACACCAAGTGCCTTAGCGCGTGCAACAATCTCAACTCTCTTTCTCGATGAAACGGCGTGGGAGATCCTAATAGTTTGTTAGTGCTAGATTTGATTTCGTCCTGGAATCGTTTGAACCTACTCTGCGGCGAAGGTCTTGTTGTGCATAAGGAGAAGCTCGACGTCGGATGTGTTGTTGACGAGGAAAGCCTTGTGGCCGGATGGCATCATGTGGCGGGTCTTCTTGTTGGAACCGAAACCAATCTATATCCTCATCAGCCCTGCTCGATTGAAACCCTTGCTGTGCATTGAATGCTCTCGAATCCCAAGCCATATTGTTCGCGAGTATCATATCAACCACAGCCAATTTTAGTTCCACGTACCGATGGCATAACCATTTGTCCCTTGAAACGTCTTCGGACACGGTTATCAATACCCTTAGGCTTTCTCCAGCTTGCGTCGACACATTTGTAGGTATCGCTCTGATGTCTGTGGAAACGCTTGGTGCCTGTAACAAAATTGTCAATCAACCATTATTCGAAATCTTGTCCAATCCTTTTCATTCGCAAAACTCAGTGCCGGCCATAACTCTTCATCGATTCCAGGCTATGCAAGTCGAATGTCGAGGATCGATGAGGGAATTAAACGTACGCTTCTTGACGATAGGAACGTGCTTCTTAGCGGAAACCATCTAGAGAATCGTCAGCATAACGGATTTAAGGTAATTGCATCTCGCCAGGAGACATAGTAATAGCAATACACACCTTGTCGTCGGGTTGTCGATTGTTTGTCGTTGGTTGATACAATCTCCAGCGAAATCTTTTTTGGTAGTCTCATAGTTTAAAGCCCACAGAAACTTAAGCGAATCTTCTTACCTGAGGCAGCAAAGTGTTAGGGCTTCCATGATGATCACGTGTGAATGACAGCAATTTGCGCATAGAGCTCCTAACGATGTAAATTGCATTTAGTAATATAAGTGTGGTAGTTTATTGGGATGTTGTCATTCAAATTCTAGGTTATTCGGAATTTGACATCTATAAAAATGCAAGATGGAATACTCAATCACATCTAGATATCAACAATCCTGCATTACTTCGACAAATAACAGAATGGATGCATGCTACAAAATGGAAACAGATGGCATTTTTTCGAAGCAGTATACCATCTCGATTTTAGAGAATGCAATATTTAGGTAATAATGCGGAAATATGGCGCTTGATTATTGGGAATTCATTACAATGTCTGCTGGAACAAATCCCGGAACGCCATGCCTTCCACGACTTCTTCTATCGCAGTCCCGTTTACCGCTCTATATCCCATGTGATCCAACTCAGAATGTGCTACCAGTTGGTAACTCGAATCTCATGACGCGCATAATACTAGTCTATGTCCAAAGGTTTACTGGGTAGCACATTGAGCACCTCCTTCATCGTCTTCATCATCCTCCCACTCGCCACCAGCACGAGGGTCTCCAGAATTTGCACCGAACTAGTTTGCAAGTTAGCATGTAAAGCAAATGAGAGTTAATCAATGATACTTACATCTTCAATGTCGGCATCTGAATCGTATTCCACCTCATCAATCTCCTCAGTCGTGATTGGTGGCTCAGGTTTAGGCAAGACTGATTGCAGAGTGGAGAATGTAGCCGCATCTTCTGTCCAACCATTCTGAGGAAATTCGATTTTTACAATCAAGTACAAATCACCCTTGGAGTCGCTTCTCTTCAAAGGCATACCTTCGCCCTCTACCTTCAAGATTTGCCCGGGCTCCAATACCTTTCCTTGAGGATGGTTTATCGAGATACCACGTCCGTCTAGATGTCTCAAGACCACTCTTGAAAACCCTGTGAGAGCCTCAGCTAAAGTGATGTTAAGCTCCGCAGAAAGATCATCGCCAGCTCGCTGGAAGATTTCGTGATCTTCTTCATCAAGAATGAAGACGATGTCGCCGGGCGTTTGATCAGGTACCTGATCAGCCTCACCCTCCAAAACAATTCGCTCTCCGTCTCTAGCACCTCTGGGTATATATAATTCCAATGACTTTTGTTCCTTGGTGGTACGCTTTCCTTTGCACTTCTTACACTTGTCCTTCTCCCTATAGTTTGTACCAGCTCCCGAACAAGTGTCGCACGTAACTCTTTCTTGGGTAACAAGTCCTGGTCCAACGCTTCTAAGGCCAACGGTGACACCACTACCCTTACACCTGCCACAGGTTTCTGGCTTGGCTTTCTCCTTTCCTCCACTGCCTTTGCAATGGCTGCAAATTACGTTTTTCTTGCTCGTAAACTTCACTGTCTTTCCCTTGTACAGGTCCTCGAGGGTGATTTTGTATGGTTGCTCTTCGTCCGCTCCCCTTCGTGGTTTTCGTGGGCCTCCAGGTCCCCCAAATCCAGGCGGCATACCTCCCATTCCACCCATACCTCCACCGAACATTTGCGCCAAAATATCATCCAAATCAACCCCGCCTGCTCCCATACCAGGTCGACTTCCATCAAATGCAGCCATGCCGTGAACATCGTACATTTCCCTCTTCTCCTCATCAAAAAGAATTTCGTAGGCCTGGCTCACTGTCTTGAACTTCTCGTCTGCCTCCTCTCTTTGGTCCTCTGCTACCTTATCGGGATGGTGCTGTAGCGCTGCCTATAACAGTCAATGAGAAATCTCAATATATTTAGTGCGGGGTATGACATACTTTGTGGTATGCTTTCTTAATCTCAGACTTTGTAGCATCTTTGCTTATACCTAGGATGGCTGCGTTATGTGTATTAGTATGTTGTAGTCAATGGCTTCATTGAATCAACCCACCATAGAGATCCGTCTCATCTGATGCGCCGTTGGTGGCCATATTGAAATTTCTCAAGAATTGATGGCGGGGAACTTTGATTGTTCAGCGAATTATAGGATTTTGTAATTGCTGAAGTTGATATCTTTCTGTGCTTTTAAACAAACGAGCAAAAGAAAACACCTAAGTAGATACAAATGTTATGTGAAAAATGACAAATAAAATTTGTACGAAGAATGAAAATGAAAGTGGTAAGGCTGAAGAGATTATGATGAAGACGGCTTTTCTATTATTTTTATCTTAGCGCCTTTCTAACTGGAAGAAGCTCGAGCCACCGAGGCCTCGGCGCATGTGGCTGAGAGTTTGTGGCTGATGATGTTTTCCTGTCCTCCAATCAATTACAAAATCTTTTTGGTGCACCGTCAAATATTGAACTGAATTCTCCAAGATTTACTTTTTATTTGTAGGATCACTATTGTCACAGTGAAATAAATTTGGAGATGAGGTTTCTCTCTGTGCCAGTGACAAGAAACACTGCCCAGAGATTATGGAAGAACAATGTTTGTTCCATATGTAAGAGATATGCCTCCACCCAAACAAATCAGTATCCTCTGTCGGTAGCCTCGACCAAACTTCGTGCTGGCGGCCCTGTCAGAACTCGGTTTGCCCCATCCCCTACCGGGAATCTGCATTTGGGTTCTATGAGAACAGCACTCTTTAATTTTCTGCTCGCAAAGGCTACCGGTGGCCAATTCCTTTTACGGATTGAAGACACGGATACGGTAGGTCAATTATAGAAAGTCTTTGCCAATAGGATCACACTAAATTAAGAAGGATAGAACCGTCCCTGGAGCCGAAGAGCGCCTATACAGAGATCTAGAATGGGCTGGTATCCAATGGGATGAAGGTATCTTGGCTCGATATTGAATTCTTAGAGTGAGTTTACTAAGGATTTTCAGGGCCGAAAGTTGGTGGACCATTTGCCCCATACAGACAGGTACGTTGATACCTTCTCATTTTATGATATCAGAATGTAATACTGATATCAACAGTCAGAACGAAAAGCAATGTATTGGGAACATGCTCAAACACTGGTCGAGGCAGACTTAGGCTACAGATGTTTCTGCTCATCCAAAAGACTGCACGAACTACGGGTTTATCAGAGTAGCAAGGGCCTCCCACAGGCTTACGATGGAACTTGCAGGCACATTCCAAAGGATCAATCTGATGAGAAGGCATCGAGGGGAGAGTCTCACGTGATCAGAATGAAAGTTCCGGAACAATGGCCAGGCTTTCAGGATGAAATTTACGGCAAAATCAGACCAACGTTGGCTCGTAGTCCTCAATCGGAATTTAAGGAATTTCAGGATCCAATTATGGTAAAATCGGATGGATTTCCAACCTATCATTTGGCAAACGTTGTGGACGATCATTTCATGAAGATCACACATGTTGTTCGAGGATCGGTACGTAATTACCATTCTCGTGACGGATGCTGGCTAACCCTAGCTTCAAGGAATGGATCCCGTCAACCCATATGCATGTCGCTATGTATAAAGCGTTTGGGTGGGAGCCACCCACCTTTGCACATGTTGGCCTCCTTTTGAATAAAGAGCGAAAAAAGCTTAGCAAACGAGATGGTGCTATTGATATTAAAACCTATCGAGATGCGGGTTATTTTCCAGAAACTATAACTAACTTCGTCGCTCTTCTTGGATGGTCACACGATCGATCCTACGATGTGATGGGTATGCAAGAACTTATAGACAATGTATACATTTCTCCTTTCCAATACATAATGACAAGCGACTAATTCAATATAGGCAAGCATGAAATATACCAGAGGTGACTCTGTGGTAACATTTGAAAAGCTTAACTTCATACAAAGAAAACACGCCGCAAGATATAAGGAATTGCGACGATCAGATGAACCTATCCCGCCTTCTCAAGATCTCCTAGAACTGGCCGCAAAGCCAATCCTCGATCGTATGAAAACTCTTCCAGAATTTGAAGACCTGGTCTTCTACAACTGTGAGAACAACAATGCCTCAAAGGAGAGCTACATCCTCTCTATAATCAGCGCTGGAATCCAAAATTACACGCTCCCCGAAACCTTTTACTCCAATCATAAATACTTTTTCGCAGCCCCCACAACTCTCGATCTTGAATATAGAACCCCGCCCCACAAGCTCCACTCCGCTCCCGAGGGGGTAATTTACCCTGTCCCCTCCGACTTCACCAATTCCTTCGACGCTTTATCCTCCATCTCCCTTGAAGATTGGAACGCTGCTGAACTAAAAGGTTTTACAAACCTTGTCGTCGACCAAGGAGCCATGATGAGCACTGCTGAATTTACTGCTAGCGGAAAATCATACACCGAAGATGCACAAAAAGTTATCAAGAAGAGTTGGATGAAACTCGTGCATGCGTATCTTAGATGGGCAATTGCGGGAGGTCAGAGTGGACCGGATACGGCGGATATTATGGCGATCTTGGGGAGGGAGGAGTCCCTTAAACGGTTGGGGGTTGCAAAGAAGATTATGGAGGATCGTCTGAAGACACTTGAGAAAGCCGAAAGGGACTCCGTTGTGGAAAATTAAAATGGTAGGTTGCTACATGGACAGTATATCAAGGACCTCAGTTGTTTGGTTGAAAGTATAAACATATTGAGGACGACTAGTCACGAGTGTTGTGGCAAAAATTCAAATAGAATTTGTCGTGGGAAATTTAGAATAGATCATATTGATGCCGTGTATCATAACTTCATTTCTCCCCACTCTAAACTACTGTGGCCAGTGTAGATTTTAGACCTTAGAACGCCATCGTAAACCCATGCGCCAAAGCAATGCTCACAAGAGCTTACCAATTATCATGTGTTTTCTTGACCCGTTATTCCGCTGCTGGAACAGCTGGAACAATTGGTGCTGCAGGATCAGCTGCAGTCTTTGGCGCCGCGCCTAACCCGTTAAACAGCTGCGCTTTGACCTCACCAGCCTTCAGCCCTGTCATCTCCTCCCCAGCAATTTTGCTACTATCTTTAACAACCTTCACCAATTGTTGATCCATTCCCTTACTTAGCGATGATCCGGCAGTTGTTCTTCCATTGCGACTGATACCGGAACTAGCTTGTCGGATCTTGGAGCTCAAATCAAGCATCTGCTTGCTGCTGTATTCGCGATTGGTGAATAAAGGACTTTGGCTCAATGTTTGAACCCAATATTTGTTCCACAATAATTCCAAAAGATGTGAATCTAATGAACTTTTGAAATGTGAAACTTCTAAAGAGTAATATCTGCTGCTATGCGCACCAAAATCCTCAATCTTCGCGAGGGGGATGGTTTGATATCCATCACCGGATCCTGCATCCGTAGGCTTGTAGTTGTCGGGATATGTTCTGAAAGCACCAATTTCGACTTTTCCAGCAGAGATGGTGCGATCAGGATCGATAACCACAGCCAGGAAAGGGTCTGAAAACATTTGTTGCGTGGCTTGTGTTCCAACATCGATACCACTCAACCAACATCCATAGCCTGGATGACTGTGATACCATCCCACCGCATTCTCTAATTTGCCCTGATCTCTACAGTGTTGTAAATACTCGACCATATATTCGTTTGCTTCGTCCTGGGCATTGACTCGAGTCTCTGTTCCCTCGACGGGTAAACGGAATGCATCTGTAACAATGATAGTATCGCCTGCGATTTTTCCTTGCATCAAACCCATGACTTCGATAGAACCACCTGACCGAGCATGCATAACCATTTTTAAGAGGGCAACAGCGGAGATCCGGACGTTTTTGAAGTGGTGAGGATCGGTTTTCCAGGGCTTGGCATTTTGAATGGCCTTTTGTTCTTCGGGATCGTAGGCGTAGAGGGCGTCGCGGTTGGGATCCACGAGTTGGACATTGTTGTCAAGCTCTATAATTGATAAGGTGAGTTTCAGGAATTAGGTAGCGTGATAGGTGCATGGTGGGGGAGGAGGGGGCAGGTGCAGTGGCAATGGCAATGGCATAGATGAAGAGAGCTTCAAGGCTAGAAATTTACTTACCCCAGGTCTTGAAAGCAGTATCCATGGTTGATGGATAAGTTTCAGTTGGAAGTATTCGGTCCTTCGTCGAAGTTGTGTATGATGACTGGGAAGGCTTAAGGGTAGCCGTGTGACGCCGTTTCAAGTGATCTATTGTCCCGATGATGTAGGGTGGTGGTTGGAGAGCTTTGATTATTTAAGGAATGTTAACTTTATTTCCTAATGTATTGCAGCCTTGTGAGCTTTGCTCGGTGCTCAGATGGCGTATTCGAGGTATCTGCCCTACCTACTATGGTAAGCTTGATCTCTTTTCTTGGTTGAACCATAATCGTACACGGCCTCTAAAAAGGCGGGGGGTCTTTTTTTAGCCATCTACGCTAAGGAATAAATCCTTGCTTATCTAATTATATTTGATAATTTCTGTATTCCAACCAATTATATACCGCATTTGCCAATTTAATGTTTATTTCGATGAAACTATCCCTCTAGCAACAATTCTCCAGCCTCAATTTTACTAAGCGTAAATACAAACTTCCCGGTTCTACCAAACTATTTCCATTTCTTCCATGCGAATCATTTCTCGATCTTCCAGACCAACGAACCACTCAACTTTTATACAAAGCACAACTAGGTACACATAAGAAGTGTACACCCACAAGAAAACTTTTAACCTGGTAATGAGAATTGAGAAGGATAATTCCTCAAGACTTGGTTGGTTTCGTGGTCGCAACAAGAATACCGGTAGAAAGAGGGATCATCATATTGAGGAGCTGAGCATTGTTCAATTGTTTCCAAATTCGAATTCTCCACTCTCAATACAGTTCCTCCCTCCCTCTCCACTTCTACGAGACAGGAATTCTCTCCACGGTCCACAACCCACAATCATCCATTTTACCTCATAATTGAACTTCTCCTTTCTTCAATCAGGGGCTTCCAGCCATCTCTTTTTATTGAAGCTGCTTCCCCCGCCGAAGTAAGGTGCCTTCGCATAGGAGTGGCTTGTATTACAAAATGGATACTAGCTACTTATCGTCGCAGGTCTCGACGATCATAGATCAGCTTCATGGCTTGTTCGATGAAATTGGTGTTCCGTCGCGGGAACGAGAGACTCGAGAATCAGAGGTATGTAGTGTTTACTTGGCTTGGAAAGAAGAAAGTAGTGAAACCTAACATTTTTAGTTATTCGCTGCCCTCTCCGAGACCTTACACAACCAAGTACGATTGGTCGCGGACGAGAAAAATGATTTGACGGAAGAAGCTCGCCGTATTATTACAACAATTAAGCAGATGGAAGCTTCCCTCGATGATGATAAAGATCACCATGAATATGAACCTGAAGACGAGGATCTCCAAATTACTTATCCCTTGTTGCAATGTCTACAAGAATTAAAAGAAAAACATCTTCATATATCAAAGATACATAGAGAGAGATTTGAACAAGTCAAGAGTAAGTTTTAAGTTTTCCTTCAATTTGACACTAGGCTATACTGACACATCGTAGAACTTGTTCAAGCTCTTGAGTCATACTCATCCCATTTAGAGCCATCTTTCATTAAAATCGAACTCCCACCCACATCTTTGAACGCGAGTATTCCTCCCACATTCGACCTTTCAAACAACTATGTTAGCGATCTCGACGATGAATTCACCCGCGTTTACGAAGAGTATACCCGCCGTGTCGCACTAGTAAAGGCTACTGCGGAAAATATTATTCAACTATGGGCTGAACTTGGCACGCCACAGGCTCAAACCGACAGCGCAATTGTTAAATACTATCGCGATGCGCCAGAGCAACTTGGTTTACACGAAGATGATATCTCCAGATTGCGCATGAAGCAAAGCAAATTGGTAGATGAGAAGAAGAGTCGAGAGAAGCGCTTGAGAGATCTACGTACTACAGTCGAGGCTTTGTGGGCAAAGCTGGGCATCGACGAGTTTGAACAGAAACGATTTTTGAACGGCAACCGAGGATTTGGCCTACGACAGATCAACGAATTCGAAGATGAATTATCAAGATTGAATGAGCTCAAGAGACAGAATCTACATCTATTTGTTGAGGATGCCCGATACAAATTACAAGAGCTGTGGGATGGTCTGTTCTTTTCTGAGGAAGAGATGCTCGAGTTCACTCCCGCATTCTCAGATGTCTACAGTGACGCTCTTTTGGAAGCTCACGAACAGGAAATCGGCCGTCTTGAGGTCCTTAAAGAACAACGCGCACCCACTTTAGCTCTCATCGAGGAACATCGATCACTTGTCAAAGACAGAGATGATCTTCAAGCATCATCACAAGATGCAAGTCGTTTGATGATGCGTGGCCAAAAGGGCGAAAAGCGTGATCCAACACGTTTGTTGCGTGAGGAAAAGATGAGGAAGAGAATCGCTAAAGACTTACCAAAGATTGCAGCAAAACTGAGAAGTGTTCTAGAGGAGTGGGAGGAAGAATATGGTCGTCCATTTATGGTACACGGTGAACGATACCTTGACGAATTGGAAGCTTCTGAAGCCAAATCTGCTCCAGGACCACGTTCAAAAACACCGGCAGGACCACCTCCAAGTACCATGAAGCCCCCTCCAAAAACTGTTGTCAAGGCTGGAACATTGGGTCGCTCTAACAGCGCACCAAGACCTGCTCCACCAAATAGATCTGGTGCCAAAACACCCACCGCAGGAGGGACAATCAGGAGACATCAATCTTCCGCTTCAGTATCCGCAGCGAGTGGTATAAAATCACCTTCTAGGCTCCCAAATCGTATACCTTTGTCAAGTCTTAAGCTTCCCAACTCTCCAGAACGCGATCGACGAACTGGATCTATGCGTCCCGAATCAAGACAAGCGACTAGCACTATCCGGGGCAAGATGGGTCCACCACCATCAAGAGCTCCACCCCCAAAGATGCGTGAGCTATTTGAACCACCACCTTCGGCTCCTCCAACTCAAACATACTATCATCGCGATGAGAGCTTTAATTCTTCAACTGGTAGTGTCCGACCAGTCTCTCCCGATGATGTTTTCGAAGCACCACCACCAAAGGCTAAGGAAAGACCTCAGTCGTATCAGGACTTGAGAGCATCAATGCGATCAAATTTCGGCCAATCATTAACTTATGGATCTGCGCCACCTGCTAGCAGTCGTCAACTTTCTACTACATCTAGCTCCGCAAACACTGGCTCTGGCTCTGAGAACTGGGAAACTTATGGAGATGTATCTGAGACTGAGCCAGAAGAAGACTCAAATGAGGATTATTTCGCGAAACTTCGAGCTGCTAGAGCAAATCGATACACTCCGGATGATGAAGCTCCTCCATTCCGTGGTAGTGCTACTATAAATAGTAGTATGATGAAGAAAAAGGGTTATCCACTTTACAAAGGACCTGCTGGGCAAGTTCTTAGTAATGATCGATTGTGCACACGAATTGTTTCTGGAAGTGAAGCTAACTGGACTGATGAAGATGCTTTTTAAGCGGACAATGTGTTAAGCATAAAAGGCGGTTGGCGTTCGTGGGTTTCTTCAATTGAACTATAAGTCCTTACTTTCTTGTCGTTAACGGTTTCAATTGGCCTAGACAGATTTCATTTCTTGTACTTTTTCTTCTTTCAAGCAAGCATAGGATATTTTTCTGGTACGACTGTCATGCTTCGTGTATGATTGGAACGGCCTATTTTTTCTCTTCTACTGATTTTGTCTTTCAAACATACCATCTTGTACTTTCTTTGCAGCAAAATTCCCTTTTTGTAATAGGTCTGGGAGGGGATATGTAGGAGTAAAAGGGAGGGATGGACAAGTGAGAGATGGGTGGAATGGCCTTGGCTTGGATGGATGGGTGGGACTGGGGGATGCAACAGGCGTTTTTCTATGATTCACACATGTTCTATGAGATAAGTGGATGTGGATAGCGAGGTCTTGTCATGTAGCTAAATATCAAATATGAAACGAGATATCACATGAACGCTTTCGTTTGGAGATGGTTTTAGTGTGAATGCGAATGTGAAATGTTCGAGGTTCCGTTTCCCTCCATGCTAATGGAACTTTTGCTTTTCGATACCTATATGAATGTCTCGCGTATCAGTAACATGTATTTGTATGCACTATGTATATCTGTAAGATTATATCCATTTTGTACGTATAATATTCTCCTCGAGCTCTCTTCGCCACCCTCTTTCTGAAATAGTATATATGAGGTTAATTTTATATTCTCTTACTTATTTACTCAAGTAAATAAATAGATTGATAAGCAGGTAGGTAGTTAAGTATTCCAAGAAACTTCTCCTTAAAGAAGAGAGGAGAGAGATGTGGGTGTGACTTCTTTTGTTTTTTTTACTACCGCCCCTTCCCCTTTCTTTCTGCCTCTACATGTGATATGATATACAGTATCCTTTTTCTGATTCCGTCTTGTCTTGTACTCCTGAGTCCTGATGCCCCTTGCATATATGTGGTATATCTCAATTTTTATAATCGGTGTTAAATAATAGATGTTCAACATGCTTAATGCTCCGTATAGATGAGATATGCGATTCGGTGGGTACGAAAAATATTACTGTATGTTAATACTGAGGTAGCTTCAGTGGTACTATTTTGTCGATTTCAAATTTCAATGGAATGGGATGTATGAATTTTCTGATGTGTTCATAATTTTCATTATAGTTCAATAACCAAATACTCAGCAATGCAAGACCCCCTATGAGCCTTTCCCGAATCCGGATACCGGTATCTCATCGAATTTCCCAACTCCAGATGTGTAACCCCCTCAAAAATTCAACGAACCCCTGATTTATTTTACAGCCCGCTTAAACAAGATACGGAGCCTCCTCCACTTTCTTCTCATTTTTCCACGAATCGCGGATCCATCTCCAGCTCAGAAGATACGGTGAACATGCGCCGAGTTCCTTTTTGATTTCCTTCAGTCGCTCTTGTTTGTCGTCCGAGAAGAAGATATGCGTAACGCCTTCTTCCCTCGCTTTTCTTTTAATATCGATATCGATCTCATCTCCCTCCACAATCTTCCCACTCGCGATCCGGAAATGTTCAAACTCGATCCGCACATTCAGATCCATGTCGAACGTCATTAATTCCCCGACTACAAAAATCGCCTTGCAGCCCCAAAACATACTCCCCTTGAATTCCGTCATATCCACGCCTTGCTTCACCAGCATGTCCTGCAGATATTTCGTGAGGGTTTTGTCTTCAAGTCTAGCCATGTTTTCTATAATTCCTTTGTATTCCAAAGGTCCCACGTCCCGGTAATATGGATCGCCATGTTCATCTGAGTTTGCTTCGATCTCTTCTTTGTCTTCGTCCCTGCAATATAGCATGTGGATCATCTCGAATGGCATTATAAATCTAGATGTTCTCCCCTGTGCAGCATCTGATTCTCTTTGCTCAATGGCGTGTAGTACCCATTGCGGTTTAACGATACTGGTTTTCTTGGTGTTCATGAGGGCGGCGACTTTAACCACGCGTTTATCGGCTATGACGATTATATCTTCTTTAGCGGTAGGAGATTGAAAAATGTTTCCTCCATTTTCCTTGATGGTTTTTTCGACTTCCACCTTGGATTTCTTAGAAGGATGAATCATCTCGCTTAACACGCAAAAGTTGAGTCCCTTAAATACATCCGTGTTTGGTCTCGCATATTCTGTCTTTCCAACATTTTCTGTGCCAGCGATAATATGCTCTCTCTTGACTCGCTTCGAACCTTTTTTCTTCTTATCGACTTTAAATTCGTCTTCTTTCCCCTCCTCAACTTTGGCTTTTAGTTCCATGAATTCTTCAATCGAAAGTGCACTCTTCCAATCTTTATCTGGACGCAATCGTTTGAAACGCGGAAATCTTAATGTGTAATTTGTGCGGAATGAGTCGGATATGCCTACTGATGCAGCCTTGACTTCTACAACGATTGAATCGTCTGCTTTGATCCATACATCTGGTCGTTCTTTCTCTTGATGAGAGCCGGCCAGTTCTATGAATTCTGTAGGTGGGGATTTAATGTCCCATTTATGCCATTTTCCGTCGGTTTGATGACGGATAGCGGCATAGTCGTCTGCATTAAATCCACCGCCTACTTTGAAGAAAGAAAAACATTTCATGGGGTTTGCTCCTATCCTGTGATTTAGTTTTCGTTTGTCAATCGGAAAAATGGGGGCAATCATACCAGTTTTGATTTGTTTCTCGTTAACACGTAAACCGCATAAGAATGACGATAAATTTCCTCCTCGATGACCTGATCCGTAATACCCACCAATAATGATGCAATCCAAAGATTCTCCAAATCCAGTCATATATTCAGGTTTAACTTTCATCCAATCATCATTTCGACTGTTCAGTCTATACATTGATCGTGGATTCTTCAACACCAGTCCTTCAGAGCCCTCAGCCACGATTTTCCGTAAAGCAGGATCAATTTCAGAAGCTGATTTGGCGGACTTGAAATCGTGTTTTTCAATTCGTCCTTCAACATTGTGAACCGCTGCCTCCAACGCGTTCCGTCTATCCCTCAAAGTGTGTTTCGTGATATTATCGCCATTCAGGTATAAGCAGTCAAAGACTTTGAATACTGGCCTAGCAGCTGTGGCCGAGAATGGATCTTTTCCTCCTGATATCGCGGCTGTCTTCAGAGTACCAAATGCCACTATCTTATTCGTAATTGGATCCCATGTGATCATCTCGCCATCCAATATAATACTAGTTACTCTTGGATCGAAAGCCTTTTTCATATGTCTTGTCAGTGCTGCATTGTCGTCTTCAAAACTATTTCCATAGAGGTATGTATAATCTTTGCCTTTTCGAGACCACCATGTAAAACGGCGACCTCCTGGCATATCATCGTTTTCTTCCATATGCATTTGGATTCTTTCGCCGTCTAATTTCTCTTCGATCCAAAATTCAATCTCGTTATTCTTGCCCTTGGTATCTTGAGGGCACATTTTGTCAACCATTTTATCAAATGAAGGTGCCATAAATTGTGCAAGTTGAGGTTGAAAACACGATCCCAATTCCACACCTGTCTCATCAGCTTCTAAAGTGACATTAGGATCCGTGAGTTCCCAACAAACTCTTCGGAGACTAGAAGAGACATTAAATAGCGCCTCTCCATCTGGATGCCAAAGCTATAGGAATAAATTAGAGATATCACAGAAACATCCGGCATCGACTTACATTAAGAAACGTCTTTTCCGAAGCCCCAATCTTCATCTGCCGAAGAATCATTCGAATCAACCATACCAACTCAGCCGGATTCATCCGCTGATAAAATTCTCGAAAAATAGGCAATTGATTTTCTTCTTTTTGGGCCAAAGCAAGTTTATCAAGCATCTCATTAACTTCCCCAATACTCATATTTCCAACCTTCTGTCTCATGGGTCTTTTCGATAAAACCTCATAACACCTACCCGGAAAATCCCCCGAATTGGCACTCGGGGGACCTCGCGCCGGAAGCTTCCAATTCATAAGATTATACCCATCATCCGAATCTTTAGACAGATTCAAAAGCTTGATGATGAGTTTTGCAACCGAAGCTTCTTTTAATCCATACATAGCTCTATCGCGATCTTTTTCCGGGATGATCAAGCGTAAAGCAGGGAAGAAATCATCGCCTACTTGGTCGCGCCATCGCGACATAAATCGGATGATGATGTTCCTTCGCATTTCATTAGGAGAAAGATTGTTAGGTCCATGTGGTCCTAATTTTTTGCGTGCCGTGGCTGGACCTGGCTTTTTGTTCTTGTTGGCTTCAAGAGGATCGAAGAGTGATTGAAATAATTCATGGAACGGTAATGTTTTCCCATGATTATGAGGTCGATTTGGATATCTTGCTTTTCATTAGATTCTGATCATAACTAGATTGAATTGAATTGAATTGTTCGACTTACTTGTCGTTAAGCTCCTCTTTACTAATGGTGCTATGAGCATATTGACGTTCATCATCAGCTATAGCCTCAGCGTCAGGCCTTTTGTTTTTATTCTGTTGACTCGAAAACATGATTCATGATGTTGAAAATAATCAAATCTGAAATGATTGAAAGCTGATGCTTAAAAAGACATTTTCGATACTCAAAAGCATACGGCTGCCTAGCTAAGCGCGAAATTGACAGGCTGTCACGTGAACTTTGTCGTACTTTACGCATAGCCTTCTGTACATAAATATATAGTCCTAGCTAGGCCTTGGGTGCCAACCTGTATTCATAAAATGATTACAATACTCACTATGATCTCTATTAGAAGTGTAGTATAGCTTCTCAACTCAATATCCGTATCCGATCTTCTCAGTATGAGCTTGCAATCCACTACTTTGTCGTACACTTGATTGCAAAATTCTCTCAATGTGGTACAAAAAGATACAGGGTTGGTTTACACGTGTAGAAAGTACGTGTCGGAACTTACGAGTGAACGAGAGATCCCGGAAGACCATCTAGTGATAGAGTAAAATTGCCAATTGCTGTACTGCTTCTGAACTAAGACGTTTG